CATCTAACTTTTGTTGTAGTAATTGAAAAATTTTTTAAAAAAATTACTGATCTAGATTTATATAGTACTACTTGCTATAAAAATTTCAAAGCTATATTTTTTAAATTTAAAAAGTTAGAGGGGGTGGGATACTTATGATTCCTACTGTATATTTATCGATCAGTGGATTGCGATTGGTTATATATCACTTGACATGGCCTGACAACTGACAAATAACCAATTTTTTTTCACTTTTCATAAACATATAGCGTCCTCCGCTTCGCTCTAGACATTTACGAAATATCTGGTTTACTATGGCATTTTAGTGATGTGAGTCCGCAAAATCTCATAACTAATTAGACATTACGTTAAATGCAATGAAACATGAAATTCTGCACCTAAACTTCACGATACTCATAACATAGCACCATATTCATATATGGGATCTTTGATAAGAAAATCACCCTTTGGCATTTTCCGATCGGGCTAATTTGGAAAAACTTAGATGATTCTTATTCATATGTAAAACAACCTTTTACTTTACTGATTCGACAGATTATTTTATAAACTATCGAATAAAATAATGATTTACATATGAATAAGAAACTGACATTCTGGTCTAAGCCTTTCCGAGTTAGCCCGATCGGAAAATCCCGAAGAATGATTTTCCTAGCAAAGATCCCTATCACTATTGTATGAGATTTAATCATAATGAATGTTCAACTTGTATTTTTTATTGCTTTAACAGGTTTTTGTCTTAATTAAATTGAATGACGATCAATGCTTTTTTTTATTATTGTCCTTCGTAGCCAAATACGAGGAACCTCGATAACAAATTTAATTACATTAAGGTTAGGGTCAGATTAGAGTCTGTATGGGCTAGGGTTAGATAAGGTTTATAGATAAAATCGTACGCCAGATATTTTTTTTCTTAATGCACAAAGATAGGTTTAGACATTCGTTTCTTGTATTTTTTGCATTTTTTACTTTTTGCTTCGTCGGGATGATCTGTTTAAACAAAAATTCATAATTTTGATTGGTCAAAATCTTGTGATTGAACTTGGATCCCCAAATACGGATTTACTGTCAACTGTCTTCAGATAGTCTTCAAAGCCGTTAACGGCTTATTCCGAAGCCGGTTTTGTCATAGCTCCAGATTAAGCCATAGTTATTGAAACCACGGCTTGTGCCATGGCTAGAGCATGACTTGAGCCATGACTCAAACTGTGGTATATTACTGTACTGATGCAGTATTGCAGTAGCATTGCATAAATAATGATTTTAAGGTAATATAGTTTTAAAGAAGCCATACAAGCATTAACATCTCTAAAAATCTTTAATAGGCTGAAATTGGTCTACAAAACTCTTCGTCATATAATGACAGGTTTTCACATGATATTTTTTCTTATTTAATCAAATGAACATTATGAATAGATTAAAGATGCCTGATGAATGACGAAACCATTTCGTCAAGTGACTTCCAATTGACGAATTGACGATTGATAAAACCAATAACGATTGACAAAACCTATGACGAATTGACGAAATCTATGACGAATTGACGAAACCTATAATGAATTGACGAAACCTATGATGAAGCCTGATGAGTTGTATTCATACAAGATAATGTTAATTACCTCATTTATAAAAAATTAACAGTGATAGAGAATCACTTTAGGTTGCATAACAATATATACATTAAGATATCCAGTATATTTTTGTTATTCATCGTGATTCAAAAAAGAGGTAGGCAGCATAGAGGGCTTGCATTCTGATTGGCTGAAGATCAGAACATTACACTGATAATCTTTACATATTAGAACAGCCCCTAGCCCACTTTAAACCAATTGTACACTACCAAAACAAATTGTAGAAAGTTGTGACTAAAAAAATCTTAAAGTATATCTTTAACCTTATATATAGTAAAAATAATTCAAGAAATGGTGAGATAATTTAGAAGTTAGCTAAGAACCATTTATTTGAAAGCATGTCAGCACAAGAATCCCATTGTGAAGCTCTAGTGAAAAAAAAGGAAAAAAAAAGACCTGGCACTGTAATTTAAAGGATCAGGAGGGGGTTATTTGTTACAATAAACAGTATGGTGCCTCTGTTGTGTCTGATCGGGTGATCATACCATGTTCCAGTCAATATTTGGACTTGGTTGGCAAGGCCTTGTGCTGAAAACATTATAACAAATTAATTGTAAATACAAAAAGATCTAAAACTAACTATGTATGTTCACATCCAAAACACTTCTACAGCAAGATTCGGTACAGAAATGAAGGCTTTTCTTAAGGTTCCAAAGTATTTACTCAATTTCTTTGAGCAGCAAAAAGGGGCAATGATATGTTGTTGTTACTTATACAAAACTGATGATGATCCAGAATATGTTAATTTGTCTGACTATTTGCTGCCACCAAAAAGAATTTCAAAAAAAGATATAAGAAAATTTCAAGGTCAGTTATATGTATTAAGAGATGATGTTATTTATTCTCAATCTGAATTTCAGGAACTGGAATCCACATATCATGAAGTATGTATAGAGCTTAATGAAACAAAATTAAGCAAGTAAATGGCTTTTATTTGTTTTATTATTTTTGGTTTAATTATTATTTCTGTTTTATTATTATTTTGTTTTTTAATTATTTATAAAAATTTTTTTTTTCTTTTTAGAGTTGGTTCCTCTTAGTAGAAAAATCAAGTTAATGGCAGGTGTGTTATATACAAGACAGCGTGCGTATAACAAGAAATCTGTCCTCGATCCTAACGAATTCAAAAAAATGCTTGAAGAAAATGAACCATTATTAAAAGGTTTTTTTGAGCAATTAGTAGCTAGAACTAACCCGAAAGCAAAAAGCAATATACTAACAAAAAAAATAAGAAACAACTAGTTTCTTTTTGTTATCTTTTAGCAGGTCTTAATAATAAATTTATTAATGGAGTTAAAGCAGAGGTTGGATATTTATTAGATGCATCTGAGGTATCATTATTAGCAATAGAAACTTTAGCAGATGCTGGCTTAATAGTACGACATGAGATGATTGCGTGACATAAAGCTCAGTATGCGAAAATGCAAATAACGTCAGGAGGAGATTTTTTGGCAAATAATGTAAGTAAAATATATATATATATTTTTGCTTAATGCAACTTTATTAAAATTTATTAATTTATTATTGAATAATTACAATTTTCTATTAGGATGAAAAATTAATTGTTTTTAATATAGATGATTTCCACAACATATATGAATACCATCATAGCGAATCAATAGTAATATATAATATCCTTTACTTTATTACTATGTTGGTTAAAGCCTTGCCAAATACAGTGTCGATTCCGAATATTGAAAATAGAAGCATTTATAATGAAAGGGGTATTGATGCAAATATAATTATTGAAAATGCATACTTATATTTTTTTCCTTATTTATGGCATAGTTATATGGTATGAAGATCAATGTTTGTCGATTCGATATCTATGCCTGAGACATATGAAGAACAAATTGAGCATCTCTTGGTTCACAGTTACGATAACAGAATCGAACAATGCAGAGAAGATCAAAGTGTAGATAATACCAAGCTTGTCAAGTTAAAAGTAGGGCCTCTTCATTCTCTAGAAGATTACATAGGTGCACTTCAAAGTTTGACAAACATAGGTGAAGTAAGAACTTATTTAGAGAATCAAATTTTGATTGCATCTATGGATTATCTTGGACAGCTTAATGTACGTTGTGTTGTTAACCACAGGATTAAGCTTGGAGATTCTTCTAGTATATTGTGGCAAGTTCTTCATATTGTGCCAATGATTGGGCCTCTATATATATCCTTAAATAGTCGTGAATTTGTTTTTCTTTTTAATTATGATTTTTTTGACAAACTTTTCCATGATATTTACAGAAGCGGGAAGGTTTTGGCTAAAAAGCCAAAACCTTACAAAATTAATCTTTTATTAGAAATAGTATTCAAAGGCTGGTCGCAAGTTCATTTAACCATTCTACAGAAATTTGAGCAGTTGAAAGATCCTGAAGTAAGATATCTAATCAATCTTCTAGATAATTTTATTCTACTGGTCCTAGACTTCTATCCCATTATATTTCGCAGTGGAAATTGGCCGGTTTATCGAGAAGCAATATTTCACATTTGGTGTATTTTTTATCAATACTAGCAAAAAAATTATAACAAGCTTTCGCTAGCCTTTTTGAGCGATGTGTTTTATTGAAGTAGTTTTAATCATCCTATTGCTCAGACTCTTACTAACTCTCTTCATGTATTTAATGACTATTATGTAAAAAATTTTCATAGTTCAATTCAATGTCGAGTTCAACCATCCAATATGGCAGATCAAATTATTCGAGAGGCACAGATAATTGATCCAATGCATAACAATAATACTTTTGTTGATAATTTTTCTAATAATTATAATATTATTTATTCAGCAAAGCAATTAGAGTATCTTGAAAAATGAACTGCTATATTTTTGCTAAAACTTTTTACAAGTATTTATAATAATGTAGGCCAATTAGTTGCAACAAACTCGAAATATAAATTTCCATCGCTCGGATATAGTGTTGATGTCAAGGCATTGCCAATAGGTTGGAACACTGTGTATCCTCCACGAAATGATAAATACTGTGATTTGGAGAACTGTACAAGAATGGATATGATAGGATTTATACTTATTTGTAGACATGCTTATCATTTTGAATGTTTGTTGTTTAGGTTAGGTGGATTATTTTATAAGCAAAATAGAGAAAAATTGTAAAGCTTTTGATGAGAGTGTAAACTCGACTAGAACAGTAGCGATAGTCATAAACAAAAGTAACTCGAACGTTCCTGAAGCAACAGAAACTACTGCGCATACTAGTGTAGTTGAAGTTGATAATGTAGTTTTAAATAGTAATATAGATCAGTTATATAGTAATGCTATAAATAATTTTAGAGCCACGTTGTAATTTAAATAATAAAATTTTATTTTTTTTGTTGCTATTGTAATAAAATGTTCACAATTCTATTAATAATAAAAAAAAAAAAACAATAAATACAATTTTAATTATTATTCTATAATTAATTTTTGTTTAAATAATTGTGATTGCAATCATAATCGCAATTATTTAATTATAAAAAAATTAAGGAGAATTTACATATAAGGGTGTGAAAAATGAAAATAATTAAAAATAAGAGCCCAAAGTAAAAATAATTACATATAAGGGCCAAAATTTTAAAAATATTACAATAAGATTGCAAATTTTTAATATAGAAAATTACATTGATATTTAAATATATTACTTTTAAATCAGTATTGCATTTATTCTCTTAGTGGCTTTTATGTAAAAATTATAACCACTTTTGCTGATTTTTAAAAGTAATTTAACTTTCTCTATGAAGAGCTTCTTCAGTTCTAAATATCTTGTATAGTAACCTTCACAAAATATTAAAAAAAGTTCATTAAGCGAAAGGTAAGTATAAATTGTATAAATCAATATATTATAAAGTTATTTTGGCCTTTAATATTCAAATTTTAGGTCTTATATGTAATTATTTTTACTCCGGGCCCTTATATACATATTAGAGTTGCAAGTGAAACAAATCTTCAATGGTGCACCAATTGCCACCAGTCACCAATCACCAATCAGCATTGGTGAAACTGGTGAAACTGGTGATACTGGTGAAACTGGTGGTGTTGGTAAAACTGGTAATGATGGTGAAACTGGTGGCATTGGTGAAACTAGTGGTATTGGTGAAACTGGTAGTATTGGTGAAACTGGAAATTAGTGTTCTGAGGTTCAGGTTCGGGTCAACCCAGGTTCAGAACTTGAACCCAAATCTAAACTCGAACACAAAGTTGCTGAACCTGAACTAGATTCGAATATGACTATTGATTCAATTCGGGTTCAGATCAATATTCACGAGCAAGTCAGATTTGGACCCTATATAATACTTTCTCCCTATTATTTACTCCTTAATATTTTCTATACCATGCCTTTTTCTTTTTCTGCTACTTCTTTCCTGATATTTTTCTCCCCAACATTACTTTCCTCTAACATCTTCTCTTCCCTGCTGTTAATTATTATATATTGTTATTATAAACTTCATTCAAACTATTAATTTATTAATCATTTATTACATAAAAGCTACTTCTAAACAAATATTCAAACTTGTCCATTATTATTAGAACTAGTAATAGCATGTGCATGAATTTTGAGAATCATGCACATGATTTTTGTAGGCATATTTTAATAGGCCATGTACTATACGTATAACTAGACAAATCCTTTTTAATTAAAATATTAGATAAGCATATCTAATTCTTGTTAAAAAAACCTGTTATTATAATAAAGTATAGATTAAAAAAAAAACCCGAGTAAAATTTTTAATTATTATCATTGTCTTAGCCTCTAAAATTGTCATATATCCTTATAATAAATTATCATATTATTGTATATTTTTACCAATCATTTTTTTGCATAAAAAAATAAAGTACAGTTTACATTCTTAATTTGTTTCGAATTAACAATTTATTTTAATGTCAAAGATATGAGTTTTATGGCTATGGGAGTAAATCAAAAGTATAATATCCAATACCTTATAATTAACATTTGTGCCAAAAATCTGATTTATATCAATAGAGATCAGATTTATGCCACAAATAGTTAGCAATAGTTAGCTATTGGATATTCATGGTTTGGGCCTTCATATATCAATACGATTGTATCCACTATGTTATCATACAAAATGAAGAATAATATTCTTATTTTTCACTGCAGGGAAATATATATATCTGGCTATATGAGAGCCCTTCAGGTCTCATATAACTTGCAGTTGCGAAAAATAACTATTTTTAATTTGGTTTCTTATTTCATTTATTTTAGTTAGTAAACATAATAGTGGGTATATTTAAAATAGGCCATTTCTTTATATTTAAATTATATTAGTCTATAAGTTAGTCTAAAATATAACAAAAATATTTTGCTTCTCTTAAATATTCTACTTCTGTAAGATTATAAATTATCTGCAATTTTCATTAAGTCAATTATTTAGGTGTAATTTAACTGAAAAGTATAAAGTACTTTGTTTAAACAAAGTATTTAAAAACAATGTATATACTTCTTATTAGTTTTATTGGTTTATTATCTATGCTGATTTGGTCGATAAACAATCTTTTGTTCAAGTTGATCTAGTCAACATTATTTATTAATTGAATATTTAATATAATCTATTAATTCTTATCTATGCCTATGATTCTTATAACTTATAGTCTAAAAATTTATATATAAAATATTAATAATATATTTTAGTCTTATCTGAAATTAATCTAAACAGGCTTGGTATGATAGTTTATACTAACTGTATTAGGACTAGGGTTGGTAAAGTCCTTAGATCTGGGACTTTAGAACCTGGTCTTTAAACCTGGTTTTTAAAGACCAAGTCTAAATTTAAGGACCTAGGGTTCTTAGGTCTTTAAAGTCCCAATATACAAATTTATAATAGCTAATCAATATATATATAGTATAATGTTTTAAATGTATAGTTTAAGATCATAATTATTTATTTAATGTATATAATTCACATATTGTTATTACATATTCTAACGCTAATAGGTAAATGTCAATATGCACACTGTGAAGAAGTAACGTGAACTAGCTGCAGCAAAAAATGTGATCTAAGCCATAAGATCGAAAAAGTATGGCATTTAATAAATGCCAATTTGGGTTTTGGCTTGAGGAAATGAGTATGAATTACTCATCGTTAGTTGTAGATTCCCCCGATACACTAAATAATCATATTGTTTAGAGATTCTAATCGTAATAGCAAAGCCCAAAAGCTCTTTGTAATGTATAAATAACAATCAATTTTATGTATCTGAAAACAAGTGAAGTGTTATAATAATAAAGACTATCTAATTATAAACTCCAAGATCCTAGTAGCAGTGGGATTCTTGGTTTTCGGACCAAATCTTCCATGCTTCTTTTGAGCAGCCTTTGATTTTTGTTGTGTCTTAGATTGCGAATACCAGTCACCCTTTTACAACATATGGAGGGGAGTCAATAGAATCCAGGCAAATTATTTCTAAGTAAATTTTTTTTAGACTTTAAATTAAAATATCTCAACAACTATTAAACCAAACTTAATAAAAATTTTTTTATTTTAATTCTATTTAGTCATAGAATTAAAATAAAAAAAAAATTTTATCAAGTTTAGTTTAATAGTTGTTAAGATATTTTAATTTGAAGTTTTAAAAAAACTTACTAAAAACAATTTGCTTGGATTCTATTGACTCCCCCATATAGTGGACCTAGATTCTAAGACTAAGTCTTGGACTGAACCTAAGTTAACTAAAGTACTAAAACTAGTTTAATAAGGATTTGGTCCATAAGTCCATGCAGTAAAACCTACAGGTTACGAGACCAGGACCGGACCAGGACTAGATTTTACTATTCCTAATTAGGACTAATAGTCTTTTGGTTTGTCCTACATAAGTGTTTAGAATAAATAACTCATTATTTTACTCATGTCAACTTTTCAACCTAGATGAATGAAAGTCTAAGTGGTGTAATATTATTAAGCATTATAAACTCACTGGTGATTAATTTAAAACTATACCTATGTAAGGCTAGAAAAATTTAGCTATCAATTTTTTTGAAACAATGCTACGTATGAATTGTCCAACCAGAACTCCCGAAGAAGTTCATTAATTTTTGAACCGAAGAACTGAACAAATGTTAAATATTCAGTATCGAACTTGAACATGTTTATAGTTCAGTTCAGGTTCAGTTCGAAAGTTGAACTGAATCTGAACTTACCCTAAGTTCAATTTGGTTCAGGTTTATAGGAACACTACTAATAATATTTATGAAACTGTGATATTAGTAAAACTGGTAATATTACTAATATTGCTACCAATATTATCAGTTTCATCAATGTCACCAGTTTTACCAATACTACCAGTTTCACCAACACTACCACCAGTTTCACCAATATCACCAATATCACCATTTCATCAGTTTCACCAATTTGGCTATTATAGTGCACCGATGGTGCACCAGTTTCACCAGGTAAAATTAATTAGTTTCACCTGCAACTCTAATATATATGTAAATTCTCTAAAAATTAATCATAGGGTCACAAAATTATTAAATTACAATATATTCGATAATACAAAATTCGTAATCCTGATTGGATGAATTTCAATGTCACGGTATGAAATGATCTACAAAAATTAGTCAATCATAACAAAAGCCCTCTATGCTGGGGTAAGCTAAAGTCAGATACATCATGAGATTACCCAATATGTAACACAGATCTGTCCAAACAAAACAAAGCAAAACAACAAAAAAAAACACAAAAAATATAAAGATTATTCACTAAATAAAAGTGGTGAAAATGTGATTTTACTATATATTAGCCTAAATCTAACTCTAATATAAATTGACTTTAATTAAAAATCATGATGTACCTGACTTTGGCTATCTACAAAAAAGGAAATTAAATTTTGTAAATAAATAAAGCACATTTTCACCTTCCTTCTTTTGCATGTGTTCAGAATTTATATTGGGCTGATCTGGAATCGAAATTTTGACTATTCTAGATTAACCTGAAATACGGGCAAAAGAAGAAAAAAAAAAAAGAGCCAAACCTTGTAATAAAATAACATTCTTTTGAAACAATTTAAGGCTTAGTGTGCCCAAAAATCATTATATAGAAGCTTGTTGTTTAATTACTAACTAAATCAGCTTGTTAATGGTTCATCAATCATTAAAGGTTTCATCAAGGGTTTTGTCAATTCGTCATAGATTTCGTCAATTCATCATAGGTTTTGTCAATTCGTCATAGGCTTCATCAATTGTCGGGGGTTTCATCAATCGTCAAGGTTTTGTCATGACAAAACCATGACAAAACCATTTTGTCATTGCAAAAATAATTTTGGCAGACATCTTTAGAATAGATATATTAATTTCTCATTTAAATTTTTATTCGTATTGATTTAAATTCTCTCAAGTACATAATTAATAGATCGAAGCTTAATTTCTAATTTGTGAAAAGTAGTTTAACCAGTAAGTAGGTATATTATCTTGATGGAAAACAAAGTTTGAAACTACCTTTTTTTTGTCATAGACTTGTTTTGGTTGGCTAAAATTTATTATTCGTATTTTGTGATATAAATCTTTAGCAAATTTACAGTTAGGATTGCTTCAATTAATCATAGTACATTATGCACAATCTCAGTAGCTAACTAATCATATTGATAGCATCATTAGTCTCTAAGTTTAGCGACTATTTGTTTGTTTAATTGATCTAAGTATTTAATATAAGCTGTTTATCTGCCAAGAACATTTCTAATTATGCAGACCAGAACTGTATGATATGGGGAGTGAAGTACCTCTATATTTAATATCTATTCTGGCGTTATATATTATTAGAGTTAGCATTATAAAATTATTGTGGATTGGTATGATATGTTTTTTAAAGAGGTATTTTACACTACTGTATATACTATATACATATAAAAATCTTATAAATTTCTTGTTTGTTTAAATTATAGTGTCTCATTTCAATATAGTTATGCTGTATTTAGTTGAATATCTGATATTTATTTTATCTGAATTCAAAACAATATATAACTACTCTGTATTGGAGTTGCCCAACATTTTTTAAATTAAGCTTGTATTCATCTGTTCCTGATATAGCGCGACAATGTCACGCAGTTACTTATTTTACGATACCAGATTATTCCACCAGTACATGTTAATCCCACACCATTTTATTATAATAAAATGGTATCAGTATGAGATTATAATCATAACATGTACTGGCGGAGTGATCTGGTATTGTAAAATAATTTTTTTATATGTTGCACACCGGGTAACTATGATATAATCAAAGTTTAAAAATTTTTTAAACTTCAAGGATCTCAAAAACAATCTATCTAAAGTTGATAAAATTTTTTTATTTAATTCTATGAGTTCATAAATATTAGTTAGTTAGTGCTAAAGTATCCTTGTTTAAAGTTTAGAAAAAAAGGTTAATAATCACGTGAATTTTGAAT